AATACAGTATTGACCCTTGGTTGTATATTCTATTCTATTAGGATTAATCCAACAGCTTTATTCGGGTTTAAACCACTCAGTGTTTTGACATTGTAAATAGCCAGTAAAACTTAGCAAGTAAATAAGAAAATAAAGTAATAAAGTGTTACGGTAGTATTCTAGTTTGTGCTGTTTCTTAATTGTTCTGCCTTGTTCTAATAAAGTTTCTAGAAGTACAGATATTACCACAAACTGATTACGTGCTCATCACTTTAATGAAATTTATTTATTTATTTATTTATCTATTTATTTATTTGTTTGTTTATTTATTTATTTATTTATCTATCTATATCCCACCATTATTATTTTCACAAATAATTCAAGATGACAAACATCTCCAATACACTTTCCTTCNACTATGGGAAAATAAAATGGTAAAGCTTATGAGTGCAATCTCCAACCATCTTGTCTTTCTTCAATGTTTGTAATGCTGAATATGTGACCATCAAGGCAGTGCCTACTTAAGGACATATGGTACTCCTTAGCCACATTGACTTATAGTGCTTTCTTCTGCTGATGTTAATGATTTGTCTTTTTTAAACTATTTGGAATGAGCGGTGGCATTGATGACTATGTTTTGGTGCCTCAAGCCAGTGCCTTTTTAGCCTTAACCTAAAGCCAGCCCTGTGATAGTCATTACATTAATGAAAAATCTATAGATACAGCTTCATTTTTTTGTTATTTTTTTTCAAAGTATGACATTTGCAACTTAAAGCTGAAAAACCCACCACTGTGAATTTTCACTTGAAAGCAGAAATGCAACTTTTCTTAACTAGTTCTGAGAACGCCCCTTTACTTTAGCAAATTGAATTTCTGCATTTAATGATGCCTCACCATTTTCAAAGAGATGTAGAAGTTAAACAATATAGGTGTCAGCATAGGTTACATCAACATAGGTTACATATATTATGAAACTGGATAAATCCCTATGCTACAAAAGTATTCAAGAAAATAGAGAATTCAATTTTCTCAGAATTCCTTTCTAAATTTGGAATTGTGGACCAATAAACTATCAATCACCTCAGTGATATTGACATATATCTCATGGTTTTTTTTACAGCTACAGTCTTCTTAGAATTTTGGAAAAGACGACGAGCTGTACTTACTTACGATTGGGACCTCATAGACTGGGAAGATGAAGAGGTAAGAATCCTTTATAATAGCAGTTTTGATATCTACATGTGTTGATTTTTCAAGACTGACAGGTACCATGCAACATGTCTGCCTCTTTGACAGCTTATATTTATTGAATGTCAACTCCAGCTTGATTTCTTTTATACCTAATTATTTGAATGTGTGTGCGCGCGCACACATATACACACAAGATTACAGCCTGACAAATGAATAATAATAGAATGTTGGCTGAATTAAGCATTTAAAGAAATAGATATAGATGATAAACTTCTTTCAATCACTTCTGTAGAGAGAGAGTTACCTTCGGCAAGGCAAGTAGCATGCAAGTTTGATTGACAAGCAGGCAGGGAAACCAATAAACAAATAAATAGTTTGTATATGGCATTTGTGTGCCAGGATCACTTTTCTTAGTATGTGTTTCCATTTATGATAATGCTAGCTTGTTGTTGTAGCCAACAGAACTCTAGAATTTGGATGTTCATGAATATAGTCCACTATTCCCACTACAGTGAGACATATATCCACACACAAACAAGTCTGGACTAAATTAAAACTTTGCAATTGCAGGAAGAACTTCGTCCCCAGTTTGAAGCAAAATATTCTCAAGTGGAGCGAGTAAATCCTATAACAGGAAAACCTGAACCTTTTCAACCTTTTCCTGATAAACTTACTCGACTGATGGTATCTGTGTCAGGAATATTTTTCATGGTAAAAACTCTGAAATTGTCTACTTCTTGTTTGTATTTGTATTTGTATTTATTTGGTTTGTATGCCGCCCAATCTTGGAAGACACAGGGCGGCTTACAGGTAAAAAAGAGAAGTGGGGACATACAAAGAATACAAACAACATTAAAATTCGACAACATTCATAACTTAAGATGGGGCTGGATAAATCAA